AATTATATTTGAACAAATTTCACATACAGTTCTGTGATTAAGTACTGAGTTAAAACATCAAAGCTTGGTTTTTTAGTTTATGAATTTCCCCCCACCTCTTTGCAACAGTCACACTGTGAATAAGAAAGTTGCTTTGTGCTATACTGGATATTAAAATTACTCAAGATCTTTGGTCTGGGCCATCGACAGGTTAATCTCCTCAGGAAGAAATTTTCCACCTTTAGAAATAGATTTGGACACCCAGTCAGCAACAGTAATTCATGTGATACTGAAGTCAGTCACCAGATAAGAGACCTCACCTGCCTGCCGGTTTATGATTCTGGTTAAAGAAGGGAAAGGGCAGCAAAAATTCCTTTAATAAGGGGCACACTTTATTTTTAAAGTTTAGAGGGAGTCCTTCATAGGGCCCCTTCCACTGCAGAGGCATGCAAGGCAGTGCTAACTGCTTGCCCTCTCAGGTGAAACGAGCTCTGTGGCCGCATAAGACAAAATGGCCACCATTCTGTGGCACCTCAACCAGACAGTACAAAATGGCTGCCCTCTCTGTGGGGCCACTGCAGTGACCTTTCCCCTGACACCCACCTTCCTCTCGCAACAGCTTTGAGGAATTTTTTCCATCTTCACAAACTCTGTGCCCTCCCCTTATTGTCTGCTGGGCTGTGTGGCATAGAGGGCCATGGGCTGCCAGCTAAGGCCCTCAAAAAACTTAGGTTTTTCTAGCAGCCACCTCCAGTGCCCCTGGCTCCAATGGGACACAACAGAGCTCTGGCGAGTCTGTCACAGGAGGCCTTCGTGAAAACCAGGGGATATTTGGATGCACGGTTGTTAAATGCATGTGTCCTCCACCTGTCCTTCAATAAAAACACTCACTGCTCAGATCACCCCAAGTACAGCACCCAAAAAGGCCATGTACCCTGGTTCAAATCTGAACTTGGTGCAGTTCACAGGGCACGGCTCTGAAAATTAAACTGTCTGGCAGACATCTACTGACAGCTTCCAGAAATTGCATAATTCCTGACTGGTGGACAAGGCAGGTATGTACTAATATCCATCAAAATTATTTTAAAATTCAGAAGATGTCTTTAAAAAGATGTTGCAATTTGTCCGCATCTGTATACCAGGCTCACAAATCATGTACTGTCCACAGCCCCACAGAGCAATACATACTGTTTTTTAGTGACAGACCAATAATTTACTGTTGAAAGGGAATACCTTTGTTTTCTCCTAGACAAATATAGTCTGCCTATCACTGTGTTAGAGAAAAACTTCCCCAAAATACAGGAAAAGTGAACATTCAGTGAGAACAGTGGAAAGAGGATTTACCCTGTTTAAAAATGAAATACCAAAATTTTTAAGTGAAGACCACAAATAACCGTACAGTTTCAATACATGTGATTTTTCTCTCTTCTGTACTGCTTTGTAGTCCTTTGTATGCTCTTTCGTCTCTGCCTTGCAAATAGAAGTGGAAATTCCTTACTGGTGTACTAGACATAATGTGAGACCTCATTTCAGTAATTAAAACTAAAGCACTTACTTAAAGATATATTTAAACAGTGTAACTTTGTGGAACTCTGAAGTGAAACAAAAACATACAGTACAGGAAACTCCAGTTGACATCTCAGTTTCAAATGTGTGAGGCTTCTTTATTGCAAAACACAGCTTTTTAATTTTGCTGAGTGAAGCTCAATAAAATCAGATGTGTGACAGCATGTTCAGCCTGTCCCCTGAAATTTTTTTACTTGAAAACCAAGGGAAGTGGCTGAACTCTTATCTATTTAACAGATTACATGCCATATACCACAGTGAAATAGTTCATCTTGTAGTGTATGCTTTAAAAGATGCCAGCTTTCTGATAATGCTTGTTTTTCTTTTTATCAATACAAAGAAATAAAGAAAGCAAAATCAGCTGAAGCAATCGCTTAACAGGTTGTGATGTTTCTCAGACCTTGGTGCAAATTGCAAGTCGGGTATCAGCCTTTGCAAGCCTGTCCTTTGCTTTGCTCTATGCTGTTATTTCCTCCTTTGAAAAGAAAAGGAGGGCAGCTGAAGACAGCTGTACTCTTCATATCCAGGAAGTCCGTACTATTTCCAGCTGAATACCTGCTTGCTATGAAGAATTACCTAAAGTTTACATGGAACCAATTTTCAGATTATAAAATCAAGCCTTCCTCAATTAGGTAATGCCACAATTTATATTGTACAATCACATTTTAGCTGAGGCAACCATAGTCACAGCAGAACAGATGCACTGTGATTTGCTCTGTAATTATATTATCAAATCCTATTTTTGTCTCAAGACCCTGCCTCACTTAGTACCCACGATGGACCTCCTCAGGTTATGTCAAGATTGCATGGCAATTGTGGCTGTTTGTAGCATCTCTCCTTCTATGCTACTGATACTGTGAAATTCCAAAAAATTATGCCAGGAGCTGTTGTGACCATCTCCAGCCAGCCCAGGAAATGAAAACATAGCTTAAAGCCATCATATGCTATCTCCAGCTCTTCTGGGTTTATTTTCAGAAAAGCTGAGGACTCAGCATGTATTGATATGAAGGAGACAGTATGTACGGAAAAGCATCAGTTTATAGCTAGCCAGCATTCCCCCTCATTCGCTTCTCAGACTTCTCTCAGCTCATTTCTTAAAATATTCTCTATAAAAAGCGCTTGGGTCAAACTGTAAATTTTCAATCTGTCTTTGCTGTTAAGAAAAGCAAACATACCACTTCAGAACATGCACACACTCTCCCTTTCTAATTATCCTGTCCCGCTTCCTTCTTTTCTTTCCTGGTGAGATAATAGGCCCAAAAGCTGAGGGAGCTGCTCAGGCAGCATCCTCTTCATTGCACATTTAATGTGTTACTGCTATAGATACTTGTGTGTGGCTTCAGAAGCAGTTTAGGATTCATATCACTGGGGGGCATGGACATATACCATGCTGAAAGACACGGTTATAAAAATGGGTAATGCATGTGTTAGCTCAGTTTGGTTGACAGAGGAGACAGGCAGCAAAACCTCAGACCTCTATATTATACAGGAACAGATCAAAACTGAACCTCAGAATAATTTGTAGTGCAAGATTCATGGATTTTTAAATGTATTAGCATATTCTGACCCAGTAAATATTAATAGTATAGGTGAGATCTTACCATCCACAGTTACTGCCTATGCCTGTTAATAGAAAAGGCATGGAGTTCTTATAAAATAGCATTCACTGTCATCATGAAACATGCTCCTTGGGAAATCTGCCAGTGCCTGATACTGTAGATGGAAAGCAAAACTTGAAGCCAAGCTATATTGGATGACCTTGAACTAAAACTGTGAAAGTTGCTTCCACCTGTGACTGATAGCTGTCTTGGGAGTGGTTGTTTCTAGCATGTAGGTGATACTGAATAGCAATTTTTTAATGTACAGGGAACATAAGATATTAAATAGTAAGCCCTATTAGGTTGCTTTAGGCAATTATTTAAAACAGTTTTACTTACCTCATTAAACTTGTTTTATCTGTAAAAATGTAGAATATTTGCTTAATGTCTGTGTGGTTATTACACTGCTAAACTAATACTGCGACAAAGCCAAATTCACCTCCACATTGACTTAGCATAGTTAAAATTGGTCATTGTCTTTGTAAACTCTCACTACACACTGTTAGATGACTCCCTCTTCTCCAGAGTGCTCATAATATCTACATCATCCAAATTCTCCATAGACCCATTCAGGTTTGTAGACCATTTTACACTATTATGTTTGCTTACTTGTAATCCCAGGAACAACTACCTTTTATGTAGATAAGTTTGCTGCAACTTGATTTTGCCCTGGTAATAAACTCATACTAGCAGTCCCACAGCTTCATTAGCTGTCCAGAGTATATAATTAATCCTTGTTTTGGGTTTTTTTTCTTGCTTCCAATCAGGCTTACTTTTTCTTTACCTGCCTTTTTAACCTTTATCCTTTTCCCACTTTGCAAAAAAACCCATAAAACTCTCTTTTGCTGCTGTGACGTTGATGTACTCATTGCTAGTAGTAGTAGAGGTGGGATAGTCAGTAATGGTCATTCTATAGGGTATTGGACATAATGGTAGAATCTCCAGTTTAGGGGAAATTCATCATGGAGAAAAATTTATAGTCCATATTCCTTCTAATAACAATAACACATCAACAGAGGTCCGATAGGATTCTCGCCTTTATGTCTTTTGTAGTATGCACAGCACACTGGTATTTTAAAGTACAAAAAGCTATGTCTGCTGATTGCCTGGCTTTATGCAACCACTGCAAAGTGAAGCAATATCAAGCTACACAAGAATGGACAAAGTGAGAAGTTAATTCCTTTGGTGATGATAACCTTCAATAAACCAACTTAGAAATCCTATGTTTTAATTTAGAATGAGTGCAAAAAATGTAGTAGGCTCGCACAAAGTGGGAACATGAAACAGTCTCTCATTACTGGCTAAACTCGAGAAGTAATACTGTACTACAAAGCCTGCTTATGTGGAGTGTTGCCATTCTGAAGTGAGAAAAGGCAGCAATGATTGCTGTCTTTGTATGAACAAAGTTAATTTCAAATTTTAATTACTTTTTCAACCAAGTACTTTATATCTGTTTCTAGTGACTCACTAATGTAGCATCAACTGTGACTTCTCAGTGGCTTAATGCCACGCGTGGCCACAGTGACACATACTGAGCATCACCCTCGGTAAGGGTGAGAGGGAGGGAGAATGTAAAGAGATAAACAGGCTGTCAAAGGTGTGAATAGCAGTGGTAACTTGCTGGTTATATATTGCTAAGCAGGTGTTCTGACTTTTGCTTTCTTTGCTAGTTTTGATTCTTTCTCTGCTACTTGTTGTACTGTATATCATCTATTTTCTCTCTTCTAAGGTTAAGCATGGAATTCTCTTAGGACTGTTTACTTATATATACAGCATCTAGTACTTTTCTCTGAGTTCAGCACCTAGCTGTTCCTATAGTGCAAAGAAATAACACCAACAAAACCAGATTTTTTCATGAATAGAGTCGTTGTTGTTGTCAGTGTTTTCTGATAAGATCTGTCTTTTCATGAAAAGGAGTAATAAATCTTTTCTCCTTCACAGTTCTATAATCTTAACAATACAGTATAATTTACTGTGAATTCCTTCCTTTTTTTTCCCTGATTGTATCTTGCTCTAGGAACATAGGATGCACTTTGGGATGCTGTAGAGAAGGAGGCAGTTGTGTGATGATATATATTTTTCAATAAATATACATGTCAGGTTGTCGGCTTCATAAGGTAAGGTACCATTAAGGAAAATATCAAGCCCAGCTTTATGAGGGATACTATGGCTGTCCCATTGATATAGCCTGGTGTGGCACACACTCTTCTGCAAGATAGGATTCATTTGTGGCTGTGACTGTATGTCCCCATTCACCTTTCCCATCCCAAGCACATTGCAATTGTGTCTCACCTGCAAATACTGAGTCCTTGAGGAAACAACCAGGGAACTGCAAGCTGGGAAATGGTGCAGCCTGGTTTCTGTAATGCAAGTTGTTAGATACTCAAAGCTTGAGGCTTTTGAGATTAGGGACAGCATTTCTAGGGGACTGCCATGGATCTAGGAGCCTCAAGGATGTCAGCGTGCCCACTGTAGAACTGGGAACTCCTGGAAGATCCAGATCTGATGAGGGTCTCCCAGCTCTTCAGATGGGAGCCTGGAAGCCTCAGGAACATGGGTTCAGGACAGAATTGCAAAGTATCTGGACTGTGCGCTTTAAGTGGAAAGTATAAATACAAATCAGCTCTCAAAGAGGAAAGAAAAATGCCTTTGTTCAGTTTGATCTCTCTGCAGAGCCATCTCCTTTGCCCTGTTTGACAGTAAACAATCAACCCCAGAGGAAAAGATGACATTACACTTTCAACTGTGTGGCAATAAAAATGCTACATTAAAACGCTCAGAAAGAAGAAACATTTTTTTAGTGGTGTATAATGATAAACATATCATTAGCAAAGTATTTAATGAATTGTAGACTTAGTACCTGGTAGTTGAGATGTTTGTGTCTTAAAAAAGAAGGAAGAATTTTTGTTATCATCTCTGTTGGACAGCTAGGAAAATAATTATTTAATAGAAAATTTTCTTTAAATAGCATTTTCTGCGTTGAATATTATGTTGTGGTTGTCACAAACTGCTGTTAATAGAAGAGGGAACAGCCCTGGGTATCTTTAATCTTTTGACTTAGTCATTTTTAGGTCAGTAACTTAGCACTGGATTTCCATATGTAACCTTTAATCCTGAACTGGTTTTGATTTCCCAGTTCTTAGCTACCTGTGGTCTGGTTTGCATGACTGGATGGTAGAATGAATTGTCTCCTGTGAGACCATGTATCTATGATAATGTATTCATAATACATCGTGTATATGTAGTACTCACAGTTACTGTGGCCCACCCTTTTGCACTGTTGCTCTTCCTGTCGGCAAGGATGCTCTAATAATGTGTAACTCTTGACCTGTGGTATTTCAGTGGTCTCTCTCACTTGCCTTCTGCTATAAATAGAAGAGTATAAATCAGTGATGATTCAACAGTAAATGGAAAAGTCCTGAAATGGACTAGCAATGTTCAATTGTATACCAGGTACCTTTATATTCTTTCCAGCTTTGATACCAAACAGTTGCTCTTCTGGTTTTAAAAATAAGAAAAGGACAAAGATGGAGGCAAATTAAGAAAGAAATTTATCATCAATTCTGCTAGAGACAATACATAACCAAACCTAGTTTCCTACTTCTGCTGCTCTAATAACAAAAAATAAAACTACCAGACCAGTTTAAATGAATGATGCACATAAGTTGGCCCTATGCTTTTACATGCAGTCTTCTGTATGCTACTGCAATGGGGTTAGATACTTCTGAAATGAAATCTAACTTCTCTATTGTATGTTTTTAGACAAATTAACTTAGTAATTTTTTGCCATGTAGAGAAATATTCCCCTCCACAGTGGGGCACTTCCAGGAAAGCTCCTCTTGTTACTACTGAAGTTGACAGTAAAATTTCATAACTGGCAGAGGAGATGGCCAAGCTCAAGAGAATTTAACAGTGTCAGTGAGAATGAAATACAGGCAGCTGCTTTAGACACTGTTCTGGATTTCTGTGAAATATGCCTTAAATATGACCTCCAGGGACTGAGATTTTCAAGTCCTGCCATCTTCAATTGTCTGAAACGACAGCTGAATTACATTACTTTGCAAGTTGTGGTACAGTGCTTCTATCCACTGTTTCTGCATCAGAGAGCACTTTTAACAATAAAAAATAGACACACTTATTTTAATAGTTAATCATAGGACTTTTGATTTGTAACCTGACCTGCCAATCAGGTCAGTCAGCAATCTGTTATCTTAATTGCCAGCTCTGTGTGTTCCAGCCTGAGCAGCACCAGGTGCTGAGCTAAATAACAAGGTGATAAACACACACCATAATGACTCAGACAACGTGTGCTATATTCATTAAATGTTGCCTGTGATTTCACAGATTTATAATTAGAAGCTTTAAGAAACTAAGATGAGTTGACAGGGACAAAATGGAGTCAAATGTAGAAGAGGGGCATACATAAACTTGTTGTTTTCTTCTATTCCCAGAATACTTTCACCATTCCAGATTCTCCACGGTTTTGGCAAGACCTTAAACACCTACAGTCCCCAAAGGCAGCCTCCACTGATGTCCCTCCTCCCCACCTCAGTCCTTATTTTAATGAATCTGCAGCTTGACAACACATTACCATCTCTGTCTGTAGCAATTCTCTTATTTCTATACAGCTCTTTACTTCAGTCACCCAAATTTGTCCACCACTACTGGCTGCTCTTGGCTGGTGTTCAGCATGTTCATTTGGTGACACCACCAAGGAGATGATCTTCTTTATCCCTATATTGAGGTCTTCTCCAGATACATGTAATCATGTCAGCTCGTAACTTAGCATGACATCTGATTCTTAGGCTATCTCCCAGACTGGCACTATCAGAGTCTTCAAAAACTGTAATAATTACAAGCGTTTTACTTCTGGGACAGGAATATATTAAAACAGAAATAAAAATAACCTCAGTGCCTGCAAACTGTCTTGGAAGAGAGGGAAGGAAACCAACGAAACCACTCTACGTTCATTTTTAACTTCAAGCACTTTAATGCAATAACAGAAAACAAAAGAAAAGAATCTCAGGCCTCTTCTTAGAGATGCTAGAGGGAGCACAGATCTATTTCTAGCTTTGAAAGTCATTCAGCAAAGGCAGCAGCTCTCTAGACATACTGAACTGCTCTGCTCATCCTGAAATCAATGAAAAAGATATTTGATGCTTATGAAGCTGTTATTAATAGTTCTTACTCTCAAATCTTAAGCATGTGACAAACTTGATGGCCATCTTCTTTTCTTTGGCTGACCATTAAGGCAAGCATTTAGTGATTTTTACTACCTGCTTTTTACAATCATTTTTTCCATCCACAGCTCTAGATGTACCTAGGACTTACACTAGGGAACCTAGTTTTCTTTCTCAGCTGAAAAGAAGACAGAATAATTTAGCTGTTATGGAATAATTTCTTTTGAAACAAAACAAAACACTTTTCTGTCCAGTACAGAATGTTTAAGTCTTGCCTGCCATTTACTTCCACTGCCTCTAAGACCTGCCAGGGCACAGCTGAATGGGAGGTCTCCCCTCTGTTTTCTTGCCATACTCCCCCTCAGTCCAGATGGTGCATGGCAGAGGTGACTCATGCTGTCACCTCACTTGTGGATCTTACAGGAATGACAGCGCTCAGAGCATTCTTCTGGTAACTGGACCACAGAAACATGTATTGGGGCTGAGTCACTGTGCCAGATTACTGCAGACTCTTCCAACCCACTTTTCCTGTCATTTTGTGACAGGTTTGTCCTGGTTTCAGATGGGATAGTTAATTGTCTTCCCAGTAGCTGGTAGAGTGCTGTGTTTTGAGTTCAGTACCAGAAGAATGTTGATAACACTGATGTTTTCAGTTGTTGCTAAGTAATGTTTAGTCTAAAGTCAAGGGTTTTTTCAGCTCCTCATGCCGAGCCAGCAAGAAAGCTGGAGGGGCACAAGAAGTTGGCACAGGACACAGCCAGGGCACCTGACCCAAAGTGGCCAGTGGGGTATTCCACACCACGTGACATCACATCTAGTATAAAAACTGGGGGGAGTGGGAGCGGGGGGAATCACCGCTCGGGGACTAACTGGGTGTTGATTGGTGGGTGGTGAGCAATTGCACTGTGCATCATTTGTACATTCCAATCCTTTTATTATTACTGTTGTCATTTTATTAGTGTTATCATTATCAGTTTCTTCTTCTCTGTTCTATTAAACCATTCTTATCTCAACCCACAAGTTTCACTTCTTTTCCTGATTTTCTCCCCCATCCCACTGGGTGAGGGGGGAGTGAGTGAGTGGCTGCGTGGTGCTTAGTTGCTGGCTGGGGTTAAACCACAACAGACATGTTTAGAAAATCTTTTGCCCATGCTGTTTATTCATTATGAGCTATTTTATCTTTTTTTGGGCAGAGAGTCTACTTTTAGGTTTTGAAGATATAGCTTGAAATACCAAGAGAGAAAAGAATAATACATGCTCATGTGATATCTCCAAACGTACAGAGGGTTTCTTGCAATAAGCCATCAAGAAACAGAAAAGAAGAATTGCAGGCAATGTGTCAGGAATACATGAAAGCACACTGAGAATTAATCCCTAGTTCAATACTACTGTGGTTACTCCAGGAATGGATTTGGGCTCTTAGTAACAGAAATGTTTTATCATACTCATAACTCATGTGTTTAAGATTGCTGGGCAGACATTTAAAGCTCAGCTCTGGGGGGAAGACTGACATATTGTAACTGCTGTTTGCTTTACTGATGTTTTTTCTACAACTTCAAAAATGATTTCACAGGGACTGGAAAGAATGTACTATCTATTCCAGAGAACAGAGAGTTCAGCAAAGGTTGTTTGTATATTGCAAATTTTATGCAAATGTCTCAAGCAGCTTGGCAGATAAACAGTCCTGGAGGATATCATTTCAGTACCCTATGCCGTGCTGTATCTATAGAGAAAAAGCCATTGCCTTCTGCACAGACCAAGAACCTCACTGTGCTGCTCTCTGAGAAAAGCAGCAGGTGCACAGGGAGCATAACAGTCTCTTAAATAAGCTGGACAATAGTCTGTGTAACTTCTTCTCTTGCCCATCTTGCACTCTGATAGATTTGACTTACTTACAACATAGAAGAAAAAGTGCTGCAGAATTAGGCTCAGTGTGTTTCTCCAGCTTCTCTGTAGGAGGTTAAGGGACCCAAAAGAGTTTTGTTTTCTCTGCTCTGCAGATTCCAGCTTTCTTTAAGATTCCCAAAAGCTCTTTTTACTTCCTAAAGAGGTCTGACAGTAATACAAATATGCTGTCAGTCAAACCATGCTGACTATCCAGTTTTCAAATGAGAAATCCACTGGGATTTTTTTTTTCAGAAGCAGCATTAACTTCTGCTGGGCCTTCTGTAACTGCTCATGTCCAAGAACCAGAGCATAAGAGGGAAAAAGAGAGGAAGGTTCATAGTACTAGTACAGATTGAATGTCCTTCCAAACAGCTTGCTTTCCCAGAAATTCCTCCTCTTCTATTTTCTTTGAAGGCAACAAGGTGACTCTTGCCCAGGACAGCAACTGTAGCCCTACATTCAGTATTATTTGCTAGCAAAATGTGTGATGTGCTTTATACTTATAAGCAACTATACCTCCTGCTTTCATTAAATCAGATGAATGAAGCCTTCACATGGTTTTCATGAATATGTCTCATAGCCCTCCTTTAGTCATTTAACCGTATCTTTTTATTTTTTTCCTAATCAGCACCATGGAGTGGATGAAACAAAGGCTGTTTGACACAGATGGGAGGAAAGATGTTCCATGTGCTTGAGGGGAATTGGTACAGATGGTGGGTTTAGTCTTTGTCCATCATAAAAATGCACTAGCCTACAGAACTGGGATCCCAGATTGGTCATCTGGCTTGGGGACTTTTGGAATTCAGATTGTCACAGAGCTGTTACAGCCCTTAAGTGCTTGGCCACGTATTTACTTCTCGCCTGTGAGTTACAAGGCAGGAACAAAATTAGATCTTAGGAAAGAGATGCTAAGAATATATATGGAGAGTGCTAGCTATATGCTCTGCAGTCAGATTAAAAAAGAACCAAAATAATGAGAAGAATTGCAACTACAGTGGAGGCCAGTACCTTTGCCACAAATTGAGTGTAGGGGCTGTAAGGACTACTGAACATCGATGATCTTGCTTACTTGGAACATACTGCCAATGATATTTTAAATTCCTGAAAAACCTGAGAGAAAAGCAGTGACATCAGCTTTTTGGAGTTCCTTGCGGAGGGCAGGGAGCCAAACTGATACACAGTGAAATATTTGAACTAGTATCTTTCAGATCTTCCCAGAATGAAGCCCAACCTACCTGATACAGAAAAAAAGAATATCCTTTCTGTGTATGTCATGGAGATCTCTTTTGTAGAAACTC